GCTCAACATCGCTCGGCATCAGGGAAATCCAAATCAAAACCTCAATGAGATACCACCTCACACCAGTCAGAATGGTTAAATTAACAAGTCAGGAAATGACAGATGTTGGCGGGGTGCGGAGAAAGGGGCACCCTCCTATACTGTTGGTGGGAATGCAAGCTGGGGCAACCACTATGGAGAACAGTATGGAGGTTCCTCAAAAAGTTGAAAATAGGGCGCCTGGGTGGCTCAGTTGGTTAAGCGACTGCCTTCGGCTCAGGTCATGATCCTGGAGACCCGGGATCGAATCCCACATCGGGCTCATCATTTTATTAACCTTCTTGGATTGGTGACTAAATATAAACAATATCCTAAATAAGAAATAATAAAAACAGAGTCCTTGCTTACAGGAGATGATTGTTAAATGTTAATGTCCTTTCTCCTTTCCCTTTTAAATGTTCAGGAATAGATGGTGAATCAAATGCGTATTAACATTAATGTCCACTAAAGGGTATACTCATGGTATATAAATGAAAAAGCAGCATTCTAAAATGTACATATAATATGTTCTTATATTACAATATTGACTGGGATGAAGTGTAAATAATTATTTTCCTGTTTGCAAAATTATATGTAATGAGTATATTCCTTTTATTTATTTTTATTTATTTTTTTAATAAAGATCTGATGTATTTACTTGAGAAAGTGAGAGAGAGCTCAGAGGGAGAGGGAGAAGCAGACTCCTTGCCGAGCAGGGAGCCCAATGCGGGACTCGATCCCAGGACCCTGGGATCATGACCTGAGCTGAAGGCAGACGCTGCACCGACTGAGCCACCCAGGCACCCCATATATTCCTTTTATTATCAGAAAAATGAAGAGATGGTATTGACACTGCTGTGCACAGAGATTCTGAATGTGACAGCTCATGACTTCACACAAGCTGAGAGTCAGAGGAGAGCAAGGACATGGGAAGGGGCGGGGGTGTGCAGTGTACCTCAGACCACACTCCTGCCTCCCACACGGTCATGCAGTCCTGGCCCTCACAGCGCTGGGCAGAGGCAGGCTTGGGCCCGGCGCAGTCCCTCTCCCGGGCTCTGGTCAGAGTCCCATTGCTCAGTTGTTGGGTACAAGCCACTTGTCTGCTCTGCATCCCTTTTCCACAAGTTCGTGAACAGGGGGTCCATTCTGTCATCATCCATCTAAAAGTAAAGCAAGAACCACTGAAATCAAAAGATATCAACCCATTGTGTGTTTTGACATGTCTGGAGTTAAGAATTGTTGCACAGTGACTTTTACCCTTTTTTTTATATATAGTTTTGTCTAAAACACCTGTCCTTTCTATCATTTTGAGTTCTCTGTATTTCTAATGTCTGTCTTAGAATCTGAAAGACTGAGATTTTGTCCACGCCATACTACATGCTTTGCCTGTTACTGCTTATCACATTGGCCACACTGAGATACCCAATAAGTACGTAACTGCTAACATACATGAGTTATTCCTATTCTTTCTTTGTGTTTTAAATCTTCACAATTAACTCCATGTGTTGGGTGCTACAACTATCACAGCCTTTTAAAGAAAGGGAAACCAAGGTAAGGGGAGATTTAGCAACTCACCAAGGGTCACAAGGTTGTAGAGTCAGCAATTGAAATGAGGCTGTAGATGATCTCACCATGAGACAAACACAGATATGAGCAAGGTAACAGAGCCCTGTCACTGAGGATACCCTCTTTTTTTTTTTTTTTTTAAAGATTTTATTTATTTATTTGAGACAGAGAGAATGAGAGAGAGCACATGAGAGGGGGGAGGGTCAGAGGGAGAAGCAGGCTCCCCGCCGAGCAGGGAGCCCGACGCGGGACTCGATCCCGGGACTCCAGGATCATGACCTGAGCCGAAGGCAGTCGCCCAACCAACTGAGCCACCCAGGCGCCCACTGAGGATACCCTCTTATGTGGGGGAAGCAATCGTTAGTACATCAACAATGGCCTGCAACAAGATTCTGTGTCTGGGTCACATCCTCTGGATAAAGCTACGTGGACTTCTTTAGGCTGGCTTCTATGTGGTTGCCATGTAATCCCAGACACTGGAGGTGTGGACTCAGAGGGCTAAACACGAAGTGACCTCATTTTAGAGGTCCTCAAGAACTCCAAATCTTTTTCTTGGATTTCACCGATTCAGTGATTCTGCCAATACATAGGCATTTTAACACCTAGATGGACATTCTTTTCTCAAACAATCATCAGGGCAGTGATACATATCTCTGGCACTTCCATTTCCAATGAGTTGGGATATAGCCTAAGGACCACTAATTTAAACATCTCCCCAAATTTATTTCAGGAAGAACCAAGGCTTGTGCCAGAAAAGTGATTCATGAAATTTGTATGATTCTTGTCAGTAAGACCTTCTCTGCATTTCCCATTATTAGGTCAACCCTATAGGGGGATCTAAGCCCACCCCAAACTACCTGCACAATCCAATTTCAGCACAGTGCAGGGCAGTGAGAAGTCCCGAGCTTAATTTTGGGTTCCTTACTAGTTGCGCACATTCTTGAAACAATACTCATAGCTGTTAAGTTTCCATTTTGTCATTTGTAAAAGTGTTTATTATTATACTGTCTGACATACAATAGGGACTCAGTATATAGTATATACTCTATATATGACAGTATATTTATAAGTAATTTATACTTACTCATTTCTCTAGCTTCATCTCTCATTTGTTTGGAAAAAAAAACATATGCTCAGCTTGCTCCTCAAATACTTTCTATTTTCACCATATTGTACCTGTTTATGGAGCATCCACTGCCTGGATCCTTGACAGCCAGCTCCAAGTCCCTTCCTTCTAAAAGGGCTTCTCCATCCAACCCACAAGGATTGTGCTCTCCTTTGCCCTCTGGTACCTGGCTTGTGGCACTCAACAGCATTTGTTAGATATTCCCTAGGGAAGTGGAAGGGTTCACACCCTCCCTACAAAATTTGCCCTTCTTTTCCTGATTAGTATATAAACTCCTTTTTTTAAAATTTTATTATGTTATGTTAATTACCATACATTACATCATTAGTTTTTGATGTAGTGTTCCATGAAAACTCTTTAAAGGCAGAGATCAATGTCTTATTCTTCTTTGCATCCATAACACATTGCATACAATAACTTGTCATTAAACATTTCTCAAATTAAACATCTACAGCCTCATTTCAAAACATTTCTGTTTTACAGAAATAGCGTCAATTCTTCCAAATTTACTTAAGCCCAAATGCTCCTGGCAATGATCCAAAGTTTGGAAAGTCACATCTAATGCAATCTAGTTTTCTCATCTGTACAATGGTTTAATTCAAAATGATTCCATGCTTCTATTTCTGAAAAGGAAAAAAAAAATCCTGGTAATATTTGCATTCCAGTACTGCCTCTAACAAAGTTCTTGTCTGCTGGTCTATCAAGTATGATGTAGATCTACCATTTTGCTTGGGAGTCCCCTAGTGGATTTTTCCTAAAGTATTTATCTTCTAAATTTATTTAGTTTCTGATTCATCTTTCTACATGAGGATACAATTTAAACCCATTTTTGTACCTTTCCCTTTCCCTCCAATTATGGAACCAAGAAGACACAACCAAAAAGAAAAGTATTTGGGACTTCATCAAGATAAAACCCTTCTGCACAGCAAAGGAAACAGTCAACAAAACAAAGAGGCAACCCACAGAATGGGAGAAGATATTTGCAAATGACACTACAGA